AAAAGAGGAACCAATGTAATAATCTGAACAATAAAGATTTAATTTAAAAAAAAATAAAGAAAATTTAGAAAAACTTTCAAAATTTGAAGTGCATTTATCGTTTGACCTAGCAATTCCACTTCCAGGAATTAACCCTACCAATATAGTCGGTACATGTGTGCAAAGATGTACATACTAGCATAGTCATGGAAGCATTTTTTAATAACCTGTGATTAGGAACAACCTGACTATCCATAAGAGACTGATTGTTAAGAGTCCATAATAATAAAAGCACAATATGCTAATTAGACTGGACAGCTGAACGACCTTCTGGATGTCATTCCGGACATCCTTCCAGATGAAGCTGCGGTGGGGACCAAGGCAGAGGTGGTTAGGCGCGATCAGGCAGGCAGGCAGAGTGGTTAGGGGCAATCAGGCAGGTAGGTGAGTGGTTAGGGGCAATGAGGCAGGCAGGCAGAGGCAGTTAGGGGTGATCAGGCAGGCAGGAGGCAGGCAGTTAGGAGCCAGCAGTCCCGGATTGCAAGCGGGTGTAGGCCGGGCTGAGGGACCCCCCCCCCCATGCACGAATTTCATGCACTGGGCCTCTAGTATGACTATAAAATGGGATTCTATGAAATGTGGCAACTTAACAGTTGATATGGAATAATGGGATATTAAGAAATAATCTGCCCTACTGGTTTGGCTCAGTGGATATGGCGCCGGCCTGCGGATTGAAAGGTCCCAGGTTAGATTCCGGTCAAGGGCATGTACCTTGGTTGCGGGGACATCCCCAGTGGGGGGTGTGCAGGAGGCAGCTGATCGATGTTTCTCTCTCATAGATGTTTCTAACTCTCTATCCTTCTCCCTTCCTCTCTGTAAAAAATCAATAAAATATATTTTTTAAAAAAGAAAGAAATAATCTCCAAGCTGTGTTAAAGGAAAAATGCAAGGAACACAGCATCATGTCTAGGATTCTACCTTTTGGTTTAAAAATACACACATCTGCTTGTATACAAATAAAATAACCCTAGAAGGATAAATAAGAAAGTGATAATGCTGCCCATGGGGAGTACTGGGTAACTGGAGGGTTAGGTGCAAGGAAGACTTTTTGCCCTATTCCTTTTGAATTTTGTGCTATAGTATATTTTTAAAAAGACTTTAAAAAAAAAGTTCCTAAGCTTCATCACAAGACTGAGAAATTAAGATGTATTCCTGTTGATTCATCTTAACATCCCTTTGGTTTTGCTGTAAAGACAAATCATAGCAGCTCAGTGTTTGGTTTTTAGGGAGATGAGAAGTTGTGCTCCTTTCTTTCCCTTCAGTGCTCCAGACCAGCTCGCATCTACCCAGGAAGCAGAAGGGGCAAAATGCGTGTTAATACCAGTAGCGCTGGATCTGACTACTGGCTCTAACACTCACCCTTTGCTCAGAAAATTAAACTTGTCCATCCAGAGATAGTTGGACAAATGTAGGCCTCTCCTTAGATGCAAATGGCTCGCCATTTAGAAGAGGAAGAGATGAAGAGGGAAAACCAGTCAGGTCTACAGAGAGGTCAGCCTGGTAAGAGGGAGGGAGAGAGAAGCTGGGGAGGGCCTGTAACTGGTACAGGAAGGGTGGAGAGAGGAGGGAGGAAACTACCTTCCTAGCACAGTACAAACTCCTGGAGGGTTTTTAGTTTCTATTCTTTGGTCTCTGGCAGGAGTGCTGGAAGAGGAAAGACTGGTTCCTCCTGTAAGGTGTCATCATTGCAGCTGACCAGGGCTGTCTTGCTGATAATCACCTGTACCGACTGATCTTCTAATTCCTTGCTGTCATCTGGTCATACTGGCTGGATTCCCATCCCTTACTTGCCTTGCACAGCTTGCTGCTGCCTTTTGCTCATGGTTTTCCTGGTCCTCTTCTCCCTTTAATTGTTGCTATTTGCCTTTTCAGGTCCAGCTCAAGCTCTGCCTCTGGCAACCCCTACTCCTGGGAGGCCTTTCAGAACTTGTTGCCCAACCTCTTCTTTGGTTCCCAGCATGTGTTACCTGTCTTGTTACATTTCTCCTTACGGCTGTTCCCTTTGCTTTCAGCCCTAACATGATCAGTGTTAGGAAAGCTTAACCTAAAAAAAGAAAGAGACCGCTTTTCAGGTCCAGCTCAAGCTCTGCCTCTGGCAACCCCTACTCCTGGGAGGCCTTTCAGAACTTGTTGCCCAATCTCTTCTTTGGTTCCCAGCATGTGTTACCTGTCTTGTTACATTTCTCCTTACGGCTGTTCCCTTTGCTTTCAGCCCTAACATGATCAGTGTTAGGAAAGCTTAACCTAAAAAAAGAAAGAGAGAGACCCTATTAATTGCAGTTATACAGTTTATATGCAGGAAACCAAGATAACTTTTGACTCATTTTTTTTAGAAAATGTTTTTATTTATTTTAAAGAGGGAGAGATAGAAACATCAATGATGAGAATCATTGATTAGCTGCCTCCTGCACCGATCCTGACCAGGAATCGAACCATGACCTCCTGGTTCATAGGTTGACACTCAACCATTGAGTCACACTGGCCAGGCTGACTCAATTTTAACATCCCAAATACAATATAGAAGACAGTGTGTGGCAGAGAGATGGAGATGTTCCTTCCCAGGCTGTGGAACTGAGTGTGCAGTGAGGAAATTTAATCTCTCTCCCGCTCCCATCTCTTGTTTCCCAGGATACTATGGCAATTGTTTGTTCATAGATGCCCCATAAGCTCTTAGAGGCAGCTGAGAATTAAGTTGCTTATTAATTCATTTAGTCTTGACCTACATATGGTTGAATAATCCCAGGGCCATCTGTCCTTCTTAATTAACATGCGAAGATGAGGAGATTTCTCTCTTCCTTCTGTGGATCACATGTACATCTTGTCAGGAGGGTCCCCAAACAACTTGCTGCCTGAGTCCTGACAATTGCTTCTAAAGTGAAACCAACAATGGGGAGAGCTTTTGCTGTTTTTGCATGTTTTGTATTTTTAAAAAGGACCCTTGTTGTGACTAGCCCATGTGGTTTCACCAGTCAAAAGCAATCTCATAAATGAATAAGTAATAGTGTATTTTCTTTCAGGTTCAGGAGATAGAGATTTTTCCCAGATGCCTGTATGAAATGGACGGACTGAAGCAGTCACTGCAGAGCACAACTTCCTCTTGGTGTTGACAGGAAGTGATGGGTTAAAAAGCTGTCAACTAAAACTAGACAAACTTTACTGATGACCTTGGGAGTATCTTTGAACTTTTATTGACCTGAAAACCCTACTTAACAGCTATCCAGGACCTGACCAGATGATGAGGTCACATGGGTGATAACTGTTTCCATGTTAGAGTGCTTCACTGCACCCCAAGGACTGCCACACACTTTATGCCATTTGAGTCGTAGTATATCCCTGGGAGGTTTGCAGGGCAGGGGTATAGTCTTCATTTTATAGATCAATGAAAATAAGTAAGCTGAGCCCTAGAGAGGTAAGATCCTTGTTAAGGATCACTGAAGAGTTGGAACTAGAACCTGGATTCTGGTCTCCTTATGAAGTGCTATTGCCAATGTATAGTATCCTAACAGGGTTTCCTTCCATCCTTTATTGCACTACCATACACTATGACCATCTTTCGTTTGCTTATAGTTTCTGTGGGTTGGCAGTGGGCTGGAGTGGCGCTTCAGGGTTTGGGCTGGGGTCGCACATGCAGCTGCAGCTATCTGGGGATTGCCTAGGGTGGACCATCCAAGATGGCCTCGCTCACATGCCTGGTGCCTCAGATGGGATGGCTGGGCCTCTCTCCACAAGCCTTTCATCCCAGTTTTCTTCACACAATGTAGATGCTTTCCAAGAGCATTAAGAACAAAAGTTGTGAGGCCTTTTGAGGCTGGGCTCAGAAGTCATATGGCTCTTCTAGTGTATTCTGTTGGTCAAAGCAAGTCACAGAGTCAGTCCAGATGCAAAAGGTGGGAAATAGATTTCACCTGTTGATCTGAAGAGCTACAAAGAATTTAGGGCCATTTTAACATCCATCGCAAAGGGAAATGCAAGTTCAAAATAGAGCTCAAGTCAGGTTACAAGGAAAGGGAAAAGCTATATATATATGTGTGTGTGTGTGTGTGTGTGTGTGTGTGTGTGTGTGTGTA